ACGACATCGTTTTAAAAACAACAAAACGATGTCGTTTTACTGAAAAATAAACTGTTACCATGAAGCTAAAGAAGACTAAATATATGACCTAAATTTTATACAATCCTTCTCGTATAAATATAGGATTAATTTAGACATGTACATAGAATTTTACTCAATTTAACTTTATAAATAATTTTATTTATAATAAAATACATATATTTTAAAAAATTTATTTTTATTTATTGTATAATATATATTAGTTAATTTAAAACATAATTATTCCATCTTGAAATTGATGTGATATTTATAGTTAGATTGGAAGTATATATTAAAAAAACATTTTTATAAAATTATAAGAAAAAGTGATAAGTATTTTTAATATTTGAATATGTTTATACAGAAAAAAAAATTTATATAAAAAATTAAACATTTTTATTTAGAATATTTAATATTTTTATATGTTTTTATATATAATTCAACGCTCTGTTTGTTATAATACCAAAATTTTCTCGTAGCTCAATGGTTGAGAGGCTCTTGTGTGTCCATAAGATCAGCAGTTCGATTCCACATACATGCAGTTTTTCATTATTATTTTCTAATGAACAATTCAAAACGACGTCGTTTTGATTTAACGGAAAGTTAACTCCGTCAACGTCTCGTTAACAGAAATTTAACGACATGCCAGAAATGATCAAGTCAACGAAAATTTAACCATTTGATCAAAAGTCAAATTAAACTCTATGATTTAAATGACATTTTCGAAAGTTCATGCTATTTTTGTCCCAAATTTGAAAGTTCGGGCATTTTTCGATATTTTTTCTTTTTCTAAACACATTAAATAAATTTTTCTTTTAATTAATCTACTATACATTTTTGAAGTACATTTTTATGGATCCTAATCAGGTCAGGTATTTTCAATTTTTTGACCCGGAATTGATTTGTTTTTGACCCGAAATAAGTGTCTCAAATCTTACCAAATTGCATGATTTTGACCATATTCTCTCAATTGAATCCTACCATATTTGATGCTCCCTACATTCAAGGCCAAAAGACATTTACTTTCTTATATTTGAAAGATATAGAAAATATATCAAATCTCACGGATCTTACCTTATTTCAGTTTTAACCTGAATCAAACAAACGAATCCTCTCTTATTAGATACCACCTACATTCAAGCATTAATGATTTAGTTTCTCTTATCAATCCCATTTAAAGATACCCAATATATTTACAGTTATAACAATAATTAACAGAAATTGTTATTTCATTATTAAGCCGAAATCAAACAAACTAATCCTCCCTTATTTTATACCACCTACATTCAAGGCATTAATGATTTAGTTTCTCTTATCAAACCAAAGTTAAAATCCACACAATATCAACAGTTATATTAACAATAACTATACAATTTTATACTTATTTTCTTACCTATCAAACTTGCATATTCTCTAATATTCTAATTCTTAGTATCACGAAATATATTCACTACTTGCTCCTCAAGATTTTCTTATATTCACCTAAACCTAATGCATCCTACAATTTCAAACTATATAAATAGGCGCTCATTTCCATCAACTCTATTCACAATCTCTCCCATTTCCCATTTGCAAAAACAAAAAAAAAAATCTACTCTTACCAGCAAGAATGGCTGTACAATTTGCTCTTTTGAGATATATCAGGCCATACAAGACATCCTGGCGTGTTCAGGTGATGGTTCTCCATTCTTGGCACCAATATACAAACAACACTGGTGAAACCTTTGAATTAGTCTTGGCTGATTCACAGGTAAAAAACATAAAATCAAACAAAGCTCATTTTACATATTCATATACATGAGTGATTAATAATAACTAATCCAAAATCTACTTCATTTCAAAAACAGGGTGTCAAGATTCATGCTTATGTGAAGAAGGATTTGGCTGCCAAGTATGTCAATAGCCTACAAGTGAATGAATGGAAGTTCATTGAACATTTTTCACTTACTCATGCATCAGGGCAATACAAACCAACCTGTCATCTATAAAAGATGACCATTGTCAATGGCACTAACGTGATACGGTCTGACATTGTCTCTGATTCAAGCTACTTAACACTGGCAAGGTTTAGCAGAATACAGAATGGAGAACCTTCACCTGAACACGTATTAAATTTTAATAAAGGTCCATAGATTCATAATCAGCTACAAGAAAACAGCCGATTACCGACTACAGCAGCCGACTATTCATGTAGTCGCCAATTTTAGCGACTATCTTGCTTCTTTTTTACGACTATTAAACGACTACAGAAAAGTAGTCGTAACGTAGTCGCCAAAGAGCGACAAAAACCAGTTGTCAGTAATGTAGTCGCTATATGGCGACTACTTACCGACTAATAAGTTGAATATATATCTAAGTCGTATATTAGTCGCTATTTTAGCGACTATTGTCTGACAACTTCTGTTAGTCGCTATTTTGGGGACTATATTATGACTACATTGCATACAACAACCAGTAGTCGCAAAATAGTTGCTAATTTTGTGACTAATATGTGGCTACAAAACGTAGTCGCTTTTTGGTGGCCTTTTAGTAACTACTTAGTCTCCATAAATGTTTATATAATCAAACTTCACCATTTTTTCTAAACCCTAAATACAAAACTTTAAATCTCTAAACTCAAAATTTTTATCTTAAACTTAACCTCCAAACCCTATACTTCAAACCCTAAACTTTAAATTTTAAACTCTTGTAATGCATTATGCATATATATATTAAATCATAAACCATTCAACCAAAATATAACCATTATATATGTATAAAAACGTTTTTTTTAAAGGGTTTGATTTGATTCTTTAATTATATTATACTAGGATTTGACCCGCGGTACACCGCGGGGTTATTATTTATTTAAAAAATTTATTTTTTGGTTTTGATCAATGTAATTTATGTTTAGTATTGTTTTTTTTTTTTCATGTTACAAAATAATTGTGGTCGGTTGTGTGTAGAATTAAATACCCACACAACCGTGTACACCGCAGGTTTAATATTATATTAATTCTATTTTTTAATAAATTAATAATTGGTAGTGTATAATTTTGTATGTTGTTTGTGTTCTTAGATAATTTTGTAGAATGGTTGGGATGATTTATTTTGAGTTGTAAGTTATGATATTAATAGTTATAATATTTGTTTGTCTATTTCACGGTCTTACATAATAATTATATTTCTTTTATATAAATAGTATAATATGTTTAATTCGGTATACCGTCACTAATGGTCATGAGTCAGGATACAGTATAAACATAGAGTGTGTAATGAAACATCACTTCGTTGTTCTATTAGTATGTGTGTTTTAGATGAAAATATTATTTTGTTCTTAATATTACTATAAAGTTGAAAATTAATATTTTTTAGTTGATATGAGTTGAAAATAAAAGATTTATATAAACTTATAGTTTTTTGGTTGATAGATTGAAAATATAGGTAGTTTATATCATCTAATCTTAATATTAAGATCATAATCAAAACAATAAGTACAAAAGGGCTAAACTTTAGAGAATTCATATATGATAAACTTACGTGTCATCCCTTAATTCAAAGTCAATCTTAGTTGTAGGTTTGTTATTAGCCTCTAGAGTCTCAAGTTCACCGATATTAACCACTTGACCCATAACATCTACAGAGACAATAAGACAATGATAAGCAATCATATATAGTAAACGATAATGAAGATCTTTAATGAATATAACTGTGCTGAAACAAATAAGAAATTGGGAGACATACCAACCAAGATGTGAGGATTCAATTCACCAGTCTGAATATCAGAGAATCTGGCTAATGAAAGGTAGCTAGAGTCACTAACAGGATCACACCGGATGACCTGTGTCCCAGTAACAAAGGACATCTTATATAGATGACCAGTAGGGCGGAATTGACCTGATGCATGGTTAAGAGTAAAGGTTTCTATAAACCTCCACTCATTGACTGGCAAGTTGTTCACATACTTGCTCACCAAGTCCTTCTTAACTGATGCATGAATCTTAGCACCCTATGACAAACGAAAACGACATAATTAGAATGATCATCTAGTTAACATTTTGAATTCATTATGATCAAGTAATTATGATAAAGTAAAGTTACATGTGAGTCTGCCAACACTAACTCGAGGGTTTCACCAGTCATGCTAGTGTACTGACGCCACGAGTGAAGCACCTTCACTTGAACACGCCATGAAGTCTTGTAAGGTCGAATATCTCTCAAAAAAGCAAAAGAGGCAGCCATTTGTATTGGTAAGCAAGTTTTAATTTTTCTAAACAGAGGGAGATATGACAGACTGAAATGTGGAGAAATGGAATGGAATTTAGGCTGTATTTATAGTGGTGTGAGATTGTATAGGGTTTTAGAATATGAAGTAGGCGAAATCTTGAGGATCAAGTTGTGAATATTCTCTGGGAATATAGGTAACTGGATATGCGGCTAGAAATTTATCACAATAATGAAATTGGTTGCAGTTGATGTATTGATATTGCCATAAATTGTTGGTTTTTTTAAAACAGATTAGATACGGTGAAGAATGATTTGGAAACCAAATTGATTCCTGATATAAAGTTTAGCTACATTATAGGTAATTGAATAGAGACGGAATATACTATGCGAATGAAACATCTATATTTTTTATTCACTTATTTTAAAGCTAGATTTTTGGGAAGTTATAATATTTACAGCTTGATTGACTCGAGATTCTTGCATTGATTCATGCAGACGGTTTTATTATAGGTTTAAGAGTTTTTTTTGGATCCGCAAGACAGCAAATGGGCCAGATTTTGGGGAATCAAAGGGAAAGGGCCTAATATCCGGGTTAAAAACCGGGTCAAAAACTTAAACAAAAACCGACTCGATTGATTCCTTAAAATGTACTTCAAAAATATTAAGTAGATATATATATATATATATATATATATATATATATATATATATATATATATATATATTATTTTATTTTCAAAACTGAAATCATACACTTAATTATTACCTTCAAAATTATTTATGGCTAATTGGGAAGTTGATTTGTCGGAGAATCTAGAAGACTACCTTCAAAATTATTACCGGAGAAATCACTGGAAATGAAGAAGATGGGCAGATTCCTATGAATTCGCTGAAGGTTTGTGGTATTTTGCTTCAATTTTCAGAAATTTGTTTCTCTTTTGATTCAACTTATTCCATTTTTTAGAGTAATTGAGAATTGGGTTTCGAATTTTGTGTTTCTCTGGATCTGTGGCTGTTTTCTACTTCATGGTTCGGTTCAGGTTTACTCCCAAGAAAGTGGAGTACATGTACAATTTGGTTCTTCGTACGTTGGAGTTTCTATCGAAGCAAAGGTCTGTCCTTTTGAACTCCTTGTGTTTTTTCGCTTAGTGAATATCTAAGCTAATTGAACTAGATAAAACATTAGTACTTGTTTGTAAAAATCCTAGCATCTCAGTTTTAGGGGCTAACTTCGATTCATATTTCTCTATGTGTATGGGTTTTATTTCGTGTTCACAGATGAAGTGAATTTATACCATCGTTGCCACTGTTTATATCAGAGGAGTGATGTCATCTTTGTCCAGCGCAGCCTAAGAGATGTTTTAGAAAAGTCCCAACACTTTGAGTTTAAGGTACGAGTTCACTTGCTCTCATATTTTGAACGTACTTAGACTTTGGACAAAGTAAGTTTGTTTATTGTCTTCACTTCTTGATATTGCTATACTATGAATGCCTAATTATTTTTATACATAGTCAAATGAGCTTCATAAACAAATACACATATAAAACTGGGTATAAATGTGGGAGTTTTAATGCTTTCAACGGGTCAATAAGTTGCCAAAATGACGCTTGTGTGTTAAGAGCTGTTTGACATATCTCGCCAAGTTCTTTGCATTTTAAATTTCAGCTCATATTGATATAGTCTTTGATGCTTTCGTCTTATGTGTGTTTGTATTCTAGAGTTGGATAGTTAGACCTAGTGGCGTGTTCTCTTAAGATGTTATGTCGTTGCCTTCTCATGTTGTGTTTCTTTTTTCAGGTAGAGGATCTCGACCAGACCAATAACTAGGAGGCAGTTTTTGGAGAAGAAAAACATAAAAAAAGTAAGACAAGGAAGAAGAGTTTAAATCAAAAGAGTTAACTAAGCCAAGTTCTTTCTTGATGATTGTCATCTACTTAGTTTTAATTATGTTTTTAGGAGGATGATGTATTCTTATTTTTAACTATGTTTTTAGTTTTATTTTGTAATACAGTTTTTTTATATATATATATAAATATGGTTTCATAATAATTAAATATAATATTTTTATTTTTTATATCATTTCATTCCATAAAACATTATTCATAATTTAAATATATTTAAAATAATTATTATTGAAATACAATATTGTATAAAACATAAATACTGTATAAATACGATCATAGTCGCAATATAGTCGTCAATTAGTCACTAAATTTGGCGACTACGCTACGACTACGCTTACGACTATGAATATTAGTCGTAAAGTAGTCGCTAATTGGCGACTATTTTTACGACTACAGTATTTAGCGACTCTCGATTACCGACTACAATTAATAGTCGTTATTTAGTCGTATAATTACATTTAGCGACTAATAGCCGACTAATCAAGTAGTCGTTAATGAGCTGTTTTCTTGTAGGCTGGTCAATCAGAAATAGAAAGTGCAAACTAACCTTCATTTGTTGCGGATATAGATATGGTACTGAAGTTTCTTCAGTATTTGTTTGTTGTATTGAACATAGAAGCATCCTATTCAATATACACCCCAGGTTAGAGACTTCTAAACCAACATAAATATGTCCAAATTTGGTAAGAGAAAATTACAGTCTAAACACTTACCTTCTCTTCTTTTTTGTTCCGTTTATGCTAAGTTACTGAGTCTCCCAAGCTTCAGAATGATACAGCTTCTATGTTGAATCCTATATAAATCAGATAAATTGGTTAGCATATCAGTACATTTGCTAGGTAAATCAACGTTTATAGGTTCAAAACATTGAAAATAACTTGAATTACAAACACTTTAAGTATATATTGATTTCAAAATCAGCTGGTCAATCGGAAATAAGTTTTTTCAATGGCATGCGATTACTATTTCAACAAAATTAAGTTTACAGACATCAACAATCGTTACATAAGAACTCCACTTTCGAATTTAAGAGTTTGGATTTAGAAGAACTAACAGAGAAATTGGATCGGAAAAGAAGATTCCAATTTCAATGGAGGTTTGAATCGCCTTGATCGTCTAGCACCGATTATGATCTGTAGATTATTTGATCTGAAACAGCTTGGGTTTCAAATTCAGATGATTAATCGATATTGGAAACGAAACAACCAACGTCTCCTGTTGATCGATCGTTATTTTTTGGCTGCTAAATGTTTTTTTGATTTCTTGGTAACAAGTTAGCTGTATCCGAGAGTTGATTCTTGAACAAAAACTGAACATTGATTTCAATATTACCAAATAATACATTTGAATCACATGGTTTATAGGATAATAATGTTTGTTAACCAAATAAAATATAAAATATTATTTTTACTAAAAATAATTTACTAAAAAGCTGATAAAGTCATTGATTACAAAAAGAAAAAAAAATCTCCTAGTAAGAATTAATAAATAAAAGATACTTTCCAATATATACGTAATTAAGTACTTTGTATTAAAATATAATCGAGCATAATTGAAATATGATAATCGCATAAAAAGATGGCCAACTTGAACTTGCCATGTTACATTGTACCAGCAAGAATATCCATTTTTCTGAATAATAGTAAACTCGTAAGAACATCTCCCATCTATAAGAAATTCTAAGAGTTTCTATAAAAAAAAAAAAATTATTTTAGTATATAATCTAATTACCTATAGGAAAAATATTTAGGGATAAATCTTAATAAATTAAACATAGTAAATAACTAAATACTAAATCAATCTATGTCAAATGCTTAAAATAGTGAATATGAACAATATTATGCACAAGTAACTATCCAATGATACTAAGAATGCTAACAAACCATTGATTGAAATATAGATGTTAAACTATTGATTGTGATAGATTAAGTGCTAATTTAAAGTGAATTTAATATATAAACTTATTGTAGGAGAGGATCGAGTTCTGCAAAGATTTAGCAAATATATGCAAATGTGATGAAGAGGATTATATATTAAATTGTAGATAGGTATATATGTATATATATATATATATATATATATATATATATATATATATATACTAGATAACTTGAACAGAATCAGTGTAAAAATCACCATAACATGCTATTATATGAAGAAAACAGTATAAAATAATATTGATTCCATAATCCTAAACAATGATCCAGATTCATTTTAAAAAGTTTTAAGAATGAAGTCCTTTCAAATTTCATAATCCTCAAGAAATGGTCGTTAGCTAAAAGAGCTGAAGGGATATCTGAGCTCTCTCGGGTGTATCTTGCCTTTTGTATTGAGACAAAGCATTTCGTGACCTGAGTGATCTCTGTGGGACTTTGTCCTGAAAGAAAAAACATGACAAAACCATATATAACTTGAACGGAATCAATGTAAAAATCACCATAACATGCTATTATATGAAGAAAACAGTATAAAATAATCTTGATTCCATAACCCTAAACAATGATCCAGATTCATTTTAAAAAGTTTTTAGAATGAAGTCCCTTCAAATTTCATAATCCTCAAGAAATGGTCATTAGCTAAGAGAGCTGAAGGGATACCTGAGCTCTCTCGGGTGTATCTTGCCTCCTGTATTGAGACAAAGCATTTCGTGACTTGAATGATCTCTGTGGGACTTTGTCCTGAAAGGAAAAACATGACAAAACAGTATATAACTTGAACAGAATCAATGTAAAAATAACCATAACATGCTATTATATGAAGAAAACATTATAAAATAATCTTGATTCCATAATACTAAACAATGATCGAGATTCATTTTTAAAAGTTTTAAGAATGAAATCCTTTCAAATTTCATAATCCTAAAGAAATGGTCGTTAGCTAAAAGAGGTGAAGGGATACCTGAGCTCTCTCAGGTGTATCTTGCCTCCTGTATTGAGACAGAGCATTTCGTGACATGAGTGATCTATGTGGGAATATGTCCTGAAAAACAAACATGAGAAAATTTTATATGAAGAAAATATTATATAACTTGAACAGAACCTGTGTTAAAATGACAAAACTATCAACTTGTATCTTAGCTACTGCAAAAAAAATTGTTATTGACCTAAACGAGTCTGGAGGATAACATGAGGTCTATGTTGTGGCTCTAGCCTCCTGTATTGAGACAGGTCACTTCATGACCTGAGTAAGGTTTGTGGGACAATGTCCTGAAAAACAAAACATGACAAAACAGTATATAACTTGGACAGAATAAGTGTAAAAATCACCATAACATGCTATTATATGAAGAAAACTATATAAAATAATCTTGATTCCATAATCCTAAACAATGATCCATATTCGTTTTTTAAAGTTTTAAGAATGAAGTCCTATCAAATTTCATAATCCTAAAGAAATGGTCGTTAGCTAAAAGAGCTAAAGGCATACATGAGCTCTCTCAGGTGTATCTTGCCTCGTGTATTGAGACAGAGCATTTCGTGACCTGAGTGATCTCTGTGGGACTATGTCTTGAAAGAAAGAAACATGAAAAAACAATATATATAACTTGAACAAAATCAGTGTAAAAAATCCCCATAACATGCTATTATATGAAGAAAACAATATAAAATAATCTTGATTTCATAATACTAAACAATGATCTAGATCCATTTTTAAAAGTTTTAAGAATGAAGTCCTTTCCAATTTCATAATCCTAAAGAAATGGTCGTTAGCTAAAAGAACTGAAGGGATACATGAGCTCTCTCGGGTGTGTCTTGCCTCCTGAATTGAGACAGAGCATTTCGTGACCTGAGTGATCTCTGTGGGAATATGTCTTGAAAAACAAACATGAGAAAATTTTATATGAAGAAAATAGTATATAACTTGAACAGAACCAGTGTTAAACAAAAACGACAAAACTATCAACTTGTATCTTAGCTACTGCAAAAATATTGTTATTGACCTAAACGAGTCTGGAGGATAACCTGAGGTCTATGTTGTGGCTCTAGCCTCCTGTATTTAAACAGGTCACTTTATGACCTGAGTAAGGTTTGTGGGACTATGTCTTGAATAAAAAACATGACAAAAAAAGTATATAACTTGGACATAATCAGTGTAAAAATCACAATAACATGCTATTATATGAAGAAAACAGTATAAAATAATCTTGATTCCATAATCCTAAACAATGATCTAGATTCATTTTGAAAAGTTTTAAGAATGAAGTCCTTTCAAATTTCATAATCCTAAAGAAATGGTCGTTAGCTAAAAGAGCTGAAGGGATACATGAGCTCTCTCGGGTGTATCTTGCCTACTAGAGAAAGAGAAAGAGAAAGAGGACGAGAGAGAGAACAAAACCTGGGTAGTACAACTATGTGCCAATACCTAGTTATACAAAAACTTCAAATAACCATACTAACCAAGTTGTACTAACAGACTAACGTAGTTATGCCAAATTTCTAAGTTACAAAAGCAACATAGTTATACCAAGTTCTATTATTTGTCCAAAGTGTATAGATTATATTGTTGAATCCCCACGAGAGGTTGAATTTGTTGTTTTCATAATCCACTTATGGCGTATTCTTCTTCAATGATTTTGTCTGGTTCTGTAGGATTCGATACAATTGGCTTCTTTGTTCGAACCATTACTCTCTTGCACAAACCTACAAACAAAATCAATCGATTTGATTAGCACTTCTATTTTATCGATTAGATTAACACGTCCATTCAAACGATTTTATTCCGTCACTTCAGATTCTATACAAACAAAATCGACTAACGATTAATTATAGTATCCTTAACTTCAAACGATTATATACAACCCAAAATAAAAACTTGATTTTAACTTACACAAAAACGTAATTGTCCGTAGTTATACCAAATTTGACGTCGAATAAGTAGAATAAAAATGAAACTGTTAAATATCGAAGGATTTTTCTTTCAAAGATTGAACGAATCCTAAAGAAAAAAAA